GGGGGGGGCATCATGCAGGACCGGGGGTGTGTCTAGTTCTGTTGTACATCTGGTCGCTGTGAGGGCACCGGACAACAGGAGTTTTCCTGTGCAGCCCCCGGCAGGGTGACACTGCTAAGACAGGCACAGACGCTTGAATGGGGAACCCCTGCGGCAGCAGTGCCTGCCAGGGACACGCTCCCCAGGGCTGGCCAGGCCCACCTTCTCACCTAACAGGCAGCCAGAACTGTCTGGGCGCCTGACATAAACCATCTCCCCACGCTGGACGGCCTGGCGGGGCGCTGGGCCTGGGACGGGCTGTTTACACCGGCAGCAACAGTGATCACCGACGCTGAAGAATTACGTGGAAACAAACAGAGGCCCTGTAAACACGGCTGTCTTTCCCCACTCCAGGAGGATAAAACTCCAAGACTGAGCAGGCGGGAAGCGGGGACCACCCTTGTTCCCACTCTCCATTGGCAAGGCACCGCGCTTCAAGCACAGGTCCCCCCGATGGGGCGGGGCAGGCAGCTGTCACATCCCTTGATACCCTACGGCCCTCTCCAGCTGCTTGGACCCCTGGGTCCCCCATGGGGCAGCCCGTCCCACAGCACCCAGGGAGGTCTGAAGGAAGACCAATCGGAGCAGTTGGGGTCTGTGGGCTGCTGGCCCACAGGCCCAGAACAGCCTGGGCTTGCTGGGAGGCCCTTGCTGGTAGGCTAGGAGTAACTTGGCTCTTCACCTTCCCCAGGGTGTGCTCAAGATACCGAGCTCCTTCTGAGAGAGCCCACCTGGGGAGCCAAGTGCTGGAGTCCTGCCCCTGCCCTGCCCAGTTGGCAGCCCCTGATGGGGAGCCCAGCCTGGTCCATAGAAAAGGCTGCAGGCATGTTCCCCACCCCCCTTCTGGAGATGCCCTGGGGCTGACTGTCCCAGGCACTTGTGGGCTTGTGTGATGCCTCCTGGAGCCCCAGGTGAGCCTTGAGGCTGGCTGGGTGGGAGGGGCTGGTGCCTTGTCACATGCTGTACATAGGAGCCACTTACTGCCCGACTGCCCGCCTGGCCGGGCCAGGTGCTCTCTCAGCCCGCACTCACCACCTGAGGAAACTGGGGGCCGTGGAGGGGCAGGGGCTTGCCCAGGGCAGTGAAACAGGCCGAAGGAGAACATGAACTCGAGTGGGTGGTGGGGAAGTCTGAAGCTCAGCCTCTCCCTCCTTCAGGATTCTGCCGATCTGAACGAGGCACCCGGCACCCGGGCAACCTCCCTGAGCAGGCCTTCCAGTGGAGCCTGGGCCCATGTTCCAGCCCTGGCCGCTGACAGCCGCTCTGCGGGGTGGACAGCGGAGGGTGCACCCCCAGCCCCAAGCAGAGGGGCGGGGAAAGGGTGGCTGCTGAGGTGTGAGCAGGATGAACTGGAGGCCACAGCTCGGGTTGGCACCTGCCTGGGCTGGGGAGCTCACTACCACCACGAGGTGGGCGGGCCACGCAGCACAGCGCCCGCCAGCCACTCCAGGCCAGCGACATTCTTGCTGTCCTCCACATGCCCCTGCGTGCCCATGCTGCCCGCTCCTGCCTGGCACCAGTACCATAAGAGGACTGAGCTTGAGCTAGGCATGGCTTTGGGAGGAGGCTACCTGCAGAGGTGCGGTAGGTGCTGGGCCCAGAGGAGGGGAGGTCTTGGGCTGGAGACTCTGATACTATGGTGGGAGGGGAGTCCCTGCAGTGGCCAGTGAGGGGTTTAGTTCCCGGGGTCAAGCTAAGGTGAGCAGGACACCAGGGTGTGGAGTGATTGGCCAAGATGGAATGTTCTGGGCCCCTTACATGCCCTACAGGGAGACGGGGCCAGACCCTCCTATGTGACGTGGCCCCGACCCGTTCCGGCTCCTGCAGGGATCCTCTCCCTGAACTCCTGCCAGGGCTGCTGGCTGAGGGGATAGTGCCCAGAGGGGACAGTGAACATTCTGCCAGGCCAGGGTCACCAAGGGGCCACCCAGGCTGTGGGCTGAGGCTGGCTCTACTCGACCCCTGGGTGCTCAGGTAGGTGGTCCCGCCCCGGGGCCTGCCTCACCCTCGGTCCTTTATCTGCATTAGAGGCCACAGCTGGCCGTTCCCTGGGGCAGGAT